GGGAACATAAAAAAATTTCATATTTTATTAAAGCTAGACTACTTATCTGTAAGTCGTCTGAGGTTAGTTAACAATTCGAAAATAAAACTTAAATATTTTACTTTTTACAGACCACTTACTTGAAAGTCGTCTAGTTAGACGAATTACGAGAAAATCGTCCGAGATAAGCAAGGTTTGACCAGAATCTCAGAAAAAAATCTGGACGACTTTTCCTATCCTAGAAGATTTTCAAGTAAGTCGTCTGACTGAACGCCTTCTGTGTAAGTCGTCTGGGAAAAGTTAAATATTTAAGTTTTATTTTCCAATTGCAAAACTAACCTGAGACGACTTACAGATAAGTCGTCTAGCTTAAATAAAATATTGAAATTTTTCTTTTCTTAGAGACGACTTACTCGATTAATATCTTACACAATTCGGTCAAATGCAAAACTAACTCATTTACCCTAGACGACTTACTGGTAAGTCGTCTAGGGTATTCTATAGATTTTTTTTACAAAAAAAGATGACGACTTACTGTCGGTTTGACCAAAAGACTTACTCGTAAGTCTTCTACAGCTAGACGACTTACAGGTAAGTCTTCTACGCAAACAGATTTGGAAAAACATTCAATTTCATATCTTAAACTAGTGAGATTACTTCCTTAGCACACAGAGTCTTCTCCAACCACCCAGAACCTAACACAAAAGTAACCCACCAAGAATAGTATGTTTGAATGACTCTATCAAACATAAATTTTTTTGAATAAAAAGCTTGAGTTTTTTTGGATGAATATGGAGACAAAGTGAAAGTGATATTTTTTTTAGTTTATAACAACTGAGAAATAGAGAGTATAAATCAATTTTAGGTGCATTAAGAGCTTCAAATTGGTTGTTCGTGATGGTTGGGGTATTGATGCCAATGGCTATCTTGTAAATAATTGAAGATGACGAGGTTGAGAAAGTAAAAAAATTATTTTCAGAAAAAAAAGGTTAATAGTATTTTTATAATTAATATGAACATGTGAGGTGAATAGGAAAAAAAATTAGTTTTATGTTTGGCTTTGCCTTTTGAGTCAAATTTGCTAAATAGTCCATAAATGTTAGGTCGAATACAAGCTTTCTTATTCAATTGACCAAAATAGCACTTCTAAAGTTTTTGTCTCCAAAATAGCACTAGAAGGGAAAAGTCATAAAAATGACCTTCATAAATGGGCAAAAAGTCATAAAAATGACCTTCAGAAATGGGCAAAAAGTCTCTAATATCTTTGCTTTTAATTAATATTAACTCTAAACCTCAATATCAATACTAAACCCTAAACCCTAAAAATACTAACTCTACACCTTCAACCGTAAACCCTAAAACATAAATCCTAAACCCTAAAACATAAATCCTAAACCCTAAACCTTTCTAAATCCTAAACCATTAACAATTAACCCTAAACCCTAAAACGAATTCTCAATCTTTAACACTAAAAAATTACCTTAGATCTTAAACCTCAATTGTAAACCCGAAAGCCTAAACCCTAAAACATAAACACTAAACCCTAAACCATATAAATAAACTCTAAACCTTAAAACCTAACCCATAAATCACAATTCTAACTTTACACCTAAATATTCTAATATAAACCCTAAAACATTGACCCTAATTTCTAAAACTCAATTCTAAACCCTAAACCCTAAAACCTCAACTCTAAACCTTACTATCAACACTAATCCCTAAACCATAAAAGTAAACAAAACCCTAAAATCTAAACACTAAACCACAATTCTAAACCCTAACTCCTAAACCCTAAAAAATTACCTTATATCCTAAACCCTAAACCTTCAACCCTAAACCCTAAACCTTAAGCCCTAAACCTTAAAAAAATCAACTTTAAACTCAAACCCCTAAAACATGAACATTAAGCCCTAGACCTTAAAACATCAACTCTAAACCATAAACTCTAAACCCATATTGAACACGCTCAAGGCTTTCCAAATTTTAAAATACATTATCCTGAAGATTAATATACTAAACTCTAAACCATAAAACACAACTCTAAACCCTAAACTCTAAACCTTACACTTTAAATCCTAAACCCTAAAAAAATTACCTTAAATCCTAAAACCTAAACCTTCAACCTAAACTCTAAACCTAAACCCTCAAAAAAATCAACCCAAAACCCAAACCCCTAAAACATGAACTTTAAGCCATAAACCCTAAAACATCAACTGTAAACCCTAAACTCTAAACCTTATACCTTAAACTCTATCCTGAAGATTAATATATTATCTGGAAGCCCATCCTGAACACGCTCATGGATTTCCAAACTTTATAATACATTATCTTCAATCTGGAATCCCATCCTAAACACGCTCAAGGTTTCCAAATTTTAGAATACATTATCCTGAAGATTAATATACTAAACTCTAAAACCTTAAACCCTAATACACCAACTCTAAACACTAAACTCTAATCCTAAAACTATAAATCTTATCCTAAAGATTAATATATTATCAGGAAGCCCATCCTAACCACACTCAAGGCTTTCCAATATTTATAATACATTATCTTGAAGATTTTTATATTATCCGGAAGCCCATCCTGAACACGCTCAAGGCTTTCCAAATTTTATAATACATTATCTTGAAGATTAATATATTATCAAAAAGTCCATCTTGAACACGCTCAAGGCTTTTCAAATTTTATGATACATTATCCTGAAGATTAATATATTATCTGGAAGGCCATCCTGAACACGCTCAAGGCTTTCTAAATTTTATAATACATTATCCTGAAGATTAATATATTATCTGGAAGCCCATCCGGAACACGCTCAAGGCTTTCCAAATTTTATAATACATTATTCTGAAGATTAATATATTATCCGGAAGCCCATCCTGAACACGCTCAAGGCTTTCCTAATCTTATAATACATTACCGTGAAGCCTATCATGAACATTAATATATCATCCAGATTTTAATATATTAGGGGTTTTGGGGTTTTGGATTTGACATTTAGAAAAATATAGAGATTGGGGATTAAGGGTTAAAGTTGAGGGTTTATGGTTTAGATGTAGGGTTTAAATTTTATGTTTCAGAATGGTTTATAGTTGAAGTTTCAGGATTTAGAGTTTAGAGTTGAAGTTTCAAGGTTTAGGGTTCTAGAATTGATGTTTCAGGGTTTAGAGTTGAAGTTTCAAGGTTTAGGGTTTAAAGTTGAAGTTTGAAGATTTAGGGTTTGAGATTTAATGTTTCAGGGTTTAGAATTCAGAGATGAAGTTTCAAGGTGTAGGGTTTTAGAGTTGATGTTTCAGTGTGTAGGGTTTAGAGTTGAAATTGCAGGTTAGAGTTTAGAGTTGAAGTTTCAGGGTTTAAAATTAATTTTTAAGGGTTTATGGTTTAAAGTTGAAGTTTCAAAATTTAGGGTTCTAGAACTGATGTTTCAGGGTTTGGAGATGAAGTTTCAGGCTTAGGGTTTTAGAGTTGGATTTTCAAGGTTTAGGGTTTAGAGTTGAAGTTTCAGGGTTTAGAGTTGAAGTTTCAGAGTTTAGGGTTTTAGAGTTGGATTTTCAGGGTGTAGGGTTTAGAGTTGAAGTTTCAGGGTTTAGGGTTTTAGAGTTGATTTTTCAAGGTTTAGAGTTGAAGTTTCAGAGTTTAGGGTTTTAGAGTTGGATTTTCAGGGTGTAGGGTTTAGAGTTAAAGTTTCAGGGTTTAAGGTTTTAATGCTGATGTTTCAGAATTTAGAGTTGAAGTTTCAGGGTTTAGGGTTTTAGAGTTGATGTTTCAGGGGTTTAGAGGTAAAACATAAGGGTTTAGGGTTTTAGAGTTGATGTTTCAGGATTTAGGGTTTAGATTTGAAGTTTCATGGTTCAAGGTTTTAGAGTTGATTTTTCAGGGTTTAGAGTTGAAGTTTCAGGTTTTAGGGTTTTAGAATTGATGTTTCGGGGTTTAGGATTTAGAGTTGAAGTTTCAAGGTTTAGGGTTTTAGAGTTGATATTTCAGGGTTTAGGGATTAGAGTTGGAGTTTTCGGGTTAGAGTTTTTTAGAGTTGATGTTTCAGTGGTTTAGAAGTAAAACATCAGGGTTTATGGTTTTAGAGTTGATGTTTCAAGATTTAGGGTTTAGATTTGAAGTTTGAGGGTTTAAGATTTTAGAGTTGATGTTTTAGGGTTTAGAGTTGAATTTTCAGGTTTTGGGGTTTTAAATTTGATATTCCAGGGTCTAGGGTTTAGAGTTGAAGTTTCATAGTTCAGAGTTTTATAGTTGATATTTCAGGATTTAAGAATTATAGTTGAAGTTTTAGGGTTAGATTTTTTTAGAGTTGATGTTTCAGGGGTTTAGAAGTAAAACATTAGGATTTATGGTTTTAGAGTAGATGTTTCAGGATTTAGGGTTTAGATTTGAAGTTTCAGGGTTTAAAGTTTTAGAGTTGATGTTTCAATTTAGAGTTGAAATTTTAGATTTTAGGGTTTTAAAGTTGATGTTTCAGGGTTTAGGGTTTAGAGTTGAAGTTTCAGGGTTTAGGGTTTTAGAGTTGATATTTTAGGGTTTAGGGTTTTAGAGTTGATATTTTAGGGTTTAGGGATTATAGTTGAAGTTTTATTATTAAGGTTTAGAGTTGAAGTTTCAGTGATTAGGGTTTAGAATTTGATGTTTTAAGGTTTATGGTTTTAATTTGAAATTACAAGGTTTAGGGTTCTAAAATTTTTATTTCAGGGTTTAGAGTAGAAATTTCAGAGTTTAAGGTTTACAATTGAAGTTTCATGGTTTTAGACTAAATTAGTAAAAAAATGGCTAAAGATAAATTATTTATTAAAATATTATTTTTTAATTAATCAAAGAATGAGTATAAGGATAAATCATTTTTTAATGAAACCTATTTTTGTGACTTTTAGTCTTGAATGTTAGTTTGGGGACAAAAAAAAATTGAATTTGTGCTATTTTAGTATTTATTTCTTTAATAAAATAGATTTGGCTCTTGTGTCTGAAATACACATTTTGTGACAAATATATATGTGAGAAAACGAAACACAAAAAAAAAATCTGTTAACTTTCGTGAAATTCAATTCAATCCAGTTATTTGGAATTGGTTTTCTACACGGGAGAGCTTTACAGTGATGGCGGCTCCTCGGAACTTAATCGGTGACGGCGGGGGAAAGCTACTCATGAAGGACGAAGAAAGCGCCGCCGCGTCTTCCTCGAAACGCACCAAATCGGAGCGCTTTCCTCTTTCACGCTGGGAATTCGTTTTGTTTTTCACCGTCTTCCTCGTCTTCACCGCCGGACTTCTGTGTATTTACCTCACAATGCCGGCCGCTGAATACGGCAAGCTCAAACTTCCTACAACCATCTCCGATCTCCGATTGCTCAAGTAAGATTTAGCCTTTTTCAGTTGCGTTTATTGAGTCTGATCCTCTCTTCAAGTTCTCATATCTATAAGATGCAAGCATTTGGTCTATAGAACAGCATATCAGCTCAAAGACATGATCTTGAAAAGTTGATGTGAGAGAAACTCTTCTGTTTTTTTTTTTTTTTTTTCAAACCCTAGATTGAAAGTTTTGATCTTTGCAAAAGTTGATTTTGGTTTGGAAAGATTTTGAATGAGACAGCTTTTGCTAATGTATGTCATTTTCGTGGACAATATTTTGCAGAGATAATCTTGGGTCTTATGCAAGTGAGTATCCAGCAAGATTCATTTTAGGTTACTGTTCCACATATATCTTTATGCAAACCTTCATGATACCTGGAACGATCTTTATGTCATTACTTGCTGGAGCTCTTTTCGGTGTGGTTAGAGGTTTTGTTCTTGTCGTCCTCAACGCAACAGCTGGAGCCTGTTCTTGTTTCTTCTTATCAAAATTGGTTGGAAGGCCTCTGGTTTTCTGGCTGTGGCCTGAGAAGTTGAGGTTTTTCCAGGCCGAGGTAAGTTCTCTTTTGTGTTTGATTAGTTTTAGTAAAATCTCTTGTTCTTAAAGGATTAATGCCTTGAGATATCGTTTCGGTCAGATTGGGAAAAGAAGAGATAAGCTACTAAACTACATGCTCTTCTTAAGGATAACACCGACACTTCCAAACCTCTTCATCAATTTGTCTTCTCCAATTGTTGACATACCTTTTCACGTCTTCTTTTTAGCGACTCTAGTAGGTCTTATGCCTGCTTCGTACATTACTGTTAGAGTGAGTATCTGGTTTTTGATCTCTTGTTGCACTTATGTGACATTGTAAGAGGCTCATCTCATATATTCACTTCATGTATACAGGCTGGTCTGGCTCTTGGAGATCTCAAATCAGTGAAAGATCTCTATGACTTCAAGACTTTGTCAGTGTTATTCCTCATTGGATCCATCTCCATAATTCCTGCTCTGCTAAAGAGAAAGAGAGTATACGAATGAAGACTGTTGATGAGCAGCACTATACTGTTGCATTCCAGGGACTTTTAAGGTGTTTATGAGCTCAACCTAAAGAAGAAGATCGCTTTGGAGACATCACAGAGTATAAAACCGCTAACTCTGGCTTTGATTGGTTTATCACTATGTTATGGATTCGAAATTCTTTCTCTTAGTCTCTCATTCCCTTGGTATTAAGTGCTTTGTCTAGCTAGAATACTGAATTTTGATTCCAAGATTGGTTCTGTATATTGTATCTTTATTCAGAGATCTGACTCTGCACCCTATTGGCTTATGTAAAATGCGTGAAGACATTACATTGACCTGAAGATGGATAATTCTGATTCTCTACGGAAAAAGATTGGCTACATAGCAAATCAAACTAACTGTCAATAACCATAGTGTCAAAAGGTTTTAGACAGCATCATTTACTGATGCAGAAAATTCTTCGTATCATGTGATGCCTTGTAATCTAGATCCATGTATTCAGCTGCAATGTCGAATAATTAATTCAATATTTTCGGTGATAGAGGACAGCAAGGGTGAGGTGGTTTTTGATAAACTGAAGATTGCTGAAGTTGTGGCTGATTTTTACAGAGTGAGGTGGTTTTTGATAAACTAAAGATTGCTGAAGTTGTGGCTGATTTTTACAGAGATGCTCATTTTAGATCATAAAATCTACACTAAGTATTTTATGGTGATTGAGAGTTAAATCTAGGGAAGATAAATGATATGGGTAATGATTCTCTTAGAACACAGCGATATAATCGGAATTCGGTTAACAAAATGAACTTTATTGATATGAGGTTTGATACAAAGCAATAAACGAGATCGAGAATAACAAAGAGAGATTGAAACTATCAACGAACTGTTCGTTCGAAACCCCGAGACTGTTCATGAGGGCTATTGCGGGCATAACTTTCTTTCTTCGAGTCTTGCGGACTCTCCTTTCCGATTCCAGAGTCTATCCTCTCTATCTTTGCTGAGTTAGGTTTGTTGTTTATTCAGATGTGCCCTAATGTCTTGAGTCATCTTCTAGCTCTTTTGGTCATAGCTCGTGAGGAACGCTTAGCGTTAGGCCTTGCCGAACTTCCATATCGCGACGTAGATTGGCGAGAGGAATTTTTCGTTTTCAAGGTTGGTCGGTCATCGATTGGTGACTTTGATTTTTCAAGGCTCCCCCGTAATTGGGCTGGAGATATATGTAGGTTTCTTTCCCTTGGGATTTCCATTATGTACGATCTTCTTTGAGATTGATTTAACTTCGTTTTGCTAGTTCATTCTGGGAGCTCTTTGATGTCCGATGAACTTCTCGGCCTGTTGGTGGTTTTACGGCGAGGCGACTTGAATTGGTCGTCCTTCGACCTGGCCCGTATTTGCGCCGCTTTCTTACTGCCGAATGGAGGTGGTCAAGCGCCGGTGATCGCAGATCAACCGCGTGGTCGGAGCGACGTGGTGAGTTCCCCCAACGATCTGTCGCCTTTGAGCAGTACGGATAGACAGCTGTCTAAGAGATCGTCATTCCGGGCGTCAAGGTCCATCGTCGGGGGAAATACTTCCGGAGGGTCTCTTCTGGTTTCCATTCCAGATTCTGATGATGAAGGTACTCCCGTGGTGAAGGGGACTCCCATCTCCTCGAGTCCTGGTTTCGGAGGACGATTTTGTTGCTTCTGGTCGTAAACAACGTCGATCGTCGTGAGCTACTGCGTCAGATGCTCGAAGTTGCCTTGTGCTTCGAGGTCTCGGAGAGACAGGTCAGAGCTCCTGTTCGTTCGTTTTTGCTTCCTCTAAGGAGGGTGAGCTTATGCTAAGGTAACAATTATGAGTTCTAAGGTGTGTTTATGTCTGTGAGTTTGAGAACCTCCCTTTTTCAGGTCATGGAGGCTTTTGCAGAATTCGTCATGATTCTAGAGGGTCGCGAGGAGAAAGAATCAAAGAGGGTCAAGGCCGAAATCTAGAGGCTCATGGAAGAGCTTCGGAAGTCGAAGGAGGAAACTTGGAAGAGCTTTTCAAGGACGAGTGGCATATGGCCTAGAATGAATTTCTTCTTCTTCCTTTTTTGTAGATCAGTTTTTCTCTCTTGTTTACTTGTGCTTTGTTATTTGGGGAACAGCTTCGTTATGTCGAAACACTCCGTTTCTCCAATTCGTCTAACGGCTGAGAAGTCGAGTTCGAAGAGGAGGGTGGATCTTCTGATGTCTAAGTCGGGCCGTTCCTCGGATCCTTATGACGAATCCGAGCCTGAGCTTCTAGCCCTGAATCCTTTAACTTATGTTTCGCAACCTCCTTCGATGGTGGGCCCCGCATCATCGGTGAAAGGGGGTGATTTGGTCAAATGGAAAAATGACTATCTGCTTTCTTCCTCCGCCGTCCTCCGCGTTCCCGATTCTATGGGTAGACCGGAGGAGATTTTTATTTATGAAGCTTTCTTTGAGTCTGGCTTCAGAGAAGATATACCGTCGTTAATTACAGATCTTTGCGATTTTTTCCGGATCTCTCCTTCCCAACTCAATCCTCTTGCCTGGCGTATCCTCATAGCCATTCAAAATTCTAGCCACGAAGAATGTCTTCCCTTAGGCGTCGACGAGGTGCTGTTTGCTTATCATCTTGCCCCTATCAATGGTGGAGAAGGCCGCTTTCACCTTTGGCCGCGCAGTGGTCTCCCCATCATAGAGGAATTTCCGAAAAATGATCGCAAGGGCCTGTCCTTCTTGAATTGATGGCAGGAAAGATATGTATTCATGACCCTTCCTGGTTCTCAATGGACAAACCCACAGCTGGGACTTGGCCAGGGAGTTTGATCGGTTCAAGGCCATGGCTCTCGCCGAGGAAAATTTCAAAGGCGTGGATCCTCCCTCTTTCGAGGATGAACCAGCCATCCCTCCATCTTCCGGCTCTGGCGGATCCTGAGATTTTCGCCGTTAATGTACTTCTCTTTATTATGTGGTCTGAACCTTCTCAAGCTTTGACCTCTGTCGTTTTTATGCACTTTGATTTTAGAAATAAAGCTTTTCACGCCTATGTTTGTATGAAGACCAGAACATTGTAGATTAATGTGGGAACCGAAATCCACCTACTGTCAATAAATCGTAAAAAAGGAAACTTCGGGAAAACCCTAAGTTTCGAGAGGAACCGGCTATCTGCAGAACCGCACAACGAAGATTAAGAAAACGATAAACTTAGAATTTAAAAGAGAATAAACGAAATTGAGAGCAAAGAGGTTCTTATTCCGAATCTGCGTAAGAACTGGTACAAAAAGAGTAGCCGAAAACTTAAGAACGAAAAACCCTAATTGAGACGCAGCTCGCTGACAGAAAACATAAATATTCCTAAATGCTAATTTTGGTGGTGGGAGCTCTGAAAATCATGTCCCAGCTTCTGCCCTATGCCTCCTCCTTATATACTATTCCTTAGGCGGTTTAAATCTTTCCATTTCGCCCGAAACCGAATATATCGGGAATTTTCCATTTCTGTCGATCCTTCCTTTTCTTCCGCGGAAATCTTCTATTTATCTTCAAACTTTCCTTTTGTCTTCTATCTGCGAGTAAACCGTCAAAACGTTATCGTATCTTCGAGTTTGATTTCGTTAATGTCGCGAGATGGGGTTTTATCGTGTTTTAGGAGATTTCGGGCCGTTTTACGATAAAAACCGTTTTACGAGTTTATACGAGACCGTTTCCTGATCTGATGCCGTTTTTTACGTTTTTCTCAACGTTTTTATTAAAAACGCGTTTTTTATGATCTTAACGAAAAATATCGGATAAATCGTATAGTTTAGGCGATGTTCGGCGTCTTGCTTAACCGTTACCGTTTTATACGATTTCTTCGAGTTCTTTTCGAGAAAACGGAGTTTTACGGTTTTTATCATAGAATTCGAACGATAAGTCGGATCAAGACGAAACGAGAGACATTTCGACCGTGGTTTAGAATATGACCGTGTCTAAGGACGTAAGGCTCAAATCGGGGCTGCGGGAGATCCGAGAGGTCTCTAGTTCGCCTGCTGGCGAACTAAGCCGGGCTGGCTTAGTTCGCCAGAAGGCGAACTAGCCGTGGAGTTTCTAGTTCTCCTGCTGGCGAACTAGTCCGGGACCGTATAGTTCGCCTGCTGGCGAACTAGTCGTGACTAGTTCGCGTTTGCGGCTTTTTCGGTTTTTCGCGGTTTTTTAAAATGATTTCTCGAGTTTTATAAAACGATCTTCGATTTTTATAAAACGGCTTCTCGAGTTTTATAAAACGGCTTCTCGAGTTTTATAAAACGATCTTCGAGTTTTATAAAACGGCTTCTCGAGTTTTATAAAACGGCTTCTCGAGATTTATAAAACAATCTTCGAGTTTTATAAAACGGCTTCTCGAGTTTTATAAAACGATCTTCAAGTTTTATAAAACGATTTCTCGAGTTTTATAAAACGATCTTCGAGTTTTATAAAACGATCTTCGAGTTTTATAAAACGGTCTTCGAGTTTTATAAAACGGCTTCTCGAGTTTTATAAAACGGTCTTCGAGTTCTATAAAACGATCTTCGAGTTTTATAAAACGATTCTCGATTTTTATAAAACGACTTCTCAAGTTTAATAAAACGATCTTCGAATTTTATAAAACGATCTTCGAGTTTTATAAAACGATTCTCGAGTTTTATAAAACGACTTCTCGAGTTTTATAAAACGATCTCCGAGTTTTATAAAACGATCTCTTGGGTTTTATAAAACTATTCCTTTTGTATTTTTGCGGGGAGTTTTGGATATTGATTCCGTCGTACTGATTTTGACCCCAACAGTTAGCCCCCCAGCTCGTAAGAATCGTGGGGTTCTTGCGAGTGGATTGAGCTTGTTTGGCGAGTTTGGTAGAATTAGGCGGAACTTTAATGGCCAAAAGTCCAAGGGTGAATCGTAAAATTCTTCCCTATAAGTAGATGGAGTAAAATTTTGAATTCTTTACCCCATTTTCTACAACTTATCCAAGATACTTTTCTCTCTACTTTCTTTGAGGATCTTCAAACATGTTTTCAGGAAGAAGTACTCGTTCCTCAACTAGCTCCAATTCTCGCAATTCTGAGGGAACGAGCTCGCAGCCTCCAGTTTCATCTCCGAAAGAAGAGTATTCGTCCCCGTTAATCGATCCGACGGACCGTGAGGCTTTTTGGGCGTTGGGAGATGAGCCGAGGTCCGCTAGGCCTGGGACTTGGGTTCCAGCTTTGTCGGACGTCGATCAAACTTCCGGATATCCGAGCTCGGCCTCTTTTTAATAGTATCGATTACATGCGCGAATTTTCCCGAGTTCCAGAGGCTGTCGAGTTTCGTCTCCCACTTGCCGGGGAGGGCGACAAGGATGCGCCCGAGGGTTTTTTCACATGTTACAACATTTTCTTGCAACAATGCCAGTTATGGTTTCCGATCCCGGAAATCATTGTTCATTACCTTCACATGCTGGGGCTATCGATCAGTCAGCTTACTCCCCCTGGTCTAAAGCAACTCGTTGGTCTCTTGACGCTGAGTTATGAGCAGGGAATTACCCTTAACGTCGATCATCTCGAGAGTCTGTTAAAGCCCATGGGGCAGTCGCAGAGGATCACTCTATGCACTCGTGACAAAATTGTTACGGGCAGCTCAACGCTCTCTACTTCTTGGAAGAAAAATTTCTTCTATGTTCGTATTGACAGTGCGTCAGTCGAGAAGGATTGCATTCCGCTTTTTACGACCGTGTGGGGTTGGAAAGGTATGTGAATCGAGTTCATACGAATCTTCTTCCTCTTGTTTTTTTTTTAAATTCGTTTCTGTTTTTCTGCAGTGACCAATCCTTTGCCTCCGTATCCCGTGGATCTCCCGAACATCACCACTTCTCTTAAACGTGGTGAAGTTGGCTGGTGCAGTTTTTCTCCGCAACGAGTCTGCCAAGCGGTTGCCCTCTTCCGATCTCGACTCTTTGCGGATTCTCCGATTTATGAAGAGGATCCGTTTATCAGGGAGTTTATTCCGTATGTTCCCTCGACGAGGAGTGGCAAGTCAAGCTTTCGAAGGGATAAAAATCCGGTTGTCAAAGATGACGATTCTGAACGTGCGACCTCTCCTGACAATATTCTCAAGGACTTCCTTGATAGTCAAACGGAAGAAGGCGTCTGGATGAAAGCGGGCGGATCATCGACCTCCCATTTTCCGGACGTTGACCATGATCAAGTCTCGGAGTTTACTAGGGGGTCTGAGAAAGCTAAGGAGGTACGTATGTTTATTATTATTTTTTTGAGCGATTTTACCATTGGATGATGTCGCTTAATTCTTTTCTTTGGTAGGGTTTCCTTGTCATGAGCCGGGCTCTAGATAGCCGTACTGCTGAAGCTCGCCTCGCCGAGTTTCGAGCGAACATGGCTGAAAAAGAAGTTGCTCGTCTTAGGGCAGAGGTCGAGGTCAACCGAGCCGAAGAAGTGGTTGCGAGGGAGGTTGCTCGCGTGAGGGATGAGTGTGCGGCTAGATCTTGCCGCGCCAAGGAGCTTTCTGACCAAAGGATTCGTCGTGCTTGTCGTGCGGGCAAACGAGAAGTTTTCGAAGAGATGAAGGCTCGTCGTGAGCGATTTACAACTGGTTGTTCGGATGCCGAAGTTGTTCAACGGGCGCACGGTGATTATCGCGAATGTCTCGGGATCGTTCGTGGGTTATCCTTAACTCAGAATGAAGGGTATTCGTTTTTTGAGGAATTCCCCGTGCGGCGGGGACGCTTGGATCGGGAAAGAGATATGCAGCCCGAACTTTTCGACATTAAAGCGCGCATGTGGGATCAGTGAAATCCCATTGTGGTGTCGCCGGATTCAGTCGAAGTTGGACCTGGGATTTCGGATGCGGATGGTGAAGTCGATCAGTCTGCGTTTGATGACTTCAATGTGTGATGTTATTTTTTTTTCGATTTCATCGTTGTTTTTCCGGGACTGGTCGTTGGTGGCTTTGAATCCCTACCGCTGGGCTGTGTGTACTTTAAGGCTTTCTAATAAGAAAATATTTTCTAAGTATGAAATTCATGTTTTGTTTTAGATGTAGAGGGAAGAATACGAGTTGTCATCTCGTATCTAACTCTTTGGTGTAAATCGTCCGATTCGTTTAACTCGGGATGTTTCGATTTTCGCGAGTGTTTAGATGTGGGCGAAAAGACATGCCTTTAGGATCTCGATTCATGCCTTGAGACGTTAGCGACCAGTGTGCTGGGTTTAGGGCAAGACCTAGGTTTACTTTCGGATTGGGGCTATGCGATGACTAGTCGGCTTTCGTTTTGCCCGTTGCGATTTTAACCTGAATCCATACCGATTTAGAATCCACGATAGGTTCTCGGCTTATACGATTCGTATGGTTGGAATCGAGCATCTCACCGGGAACAAATTTCTAAGTTGCCCGGAAGTGCTGACCAAAAATTTGGTTTTCTTTTATAGCGCGCTATTTTATCCTAGTCGGATGTATGCGGACCGATAGGTCGATGAGTTTGTTTAGGACGGCTAGCGTGCTTGACGGGGCCAATCGCCGAGCGTTCGTGTTTTTATAGTCGCGGATGGACTTGGGGAAATATTTTCCTTGAGAGTTTAGGCGATGTCTCGCCAGTTCTTTCCGAAAATATTTTGATATGCAAGTTTTATAAAAACGATTAAATAGTTGTTACTGCGGAAGCGATTTTCCGGATGTTTGAAATTTTTTTTTGCGTTTTCGATAGTAGTGGAGATATTCTAACTTTGTCTTTATTAAAAATTTTGAAAATTTTTCGATTACAAAGCGAATTTTTTTTTAAAAAAATTTGGGAGTATACGAATACTTGTATACTCACCCACTCCCCCCCCCCCCCCGTTTTGGAAAGGGGGATAGCTGAACTCGTCTTTAGGCGAGCTGCCTACGTATTCCTTTCGGAAATCAAGCCATCTCGTAGTTCTGATTGTTTGCGCG